AATGTCAGCAGACTTGAGCGCTACCGCGTCATTAACGCCGTCACCAGTCATGGCTACCGTGAGGCCACGTTTTTGTAGGGCCTGGAGTGCAAAAAGGGGGTAAATAATGATGTTAAGAGGGGCCAACACTCGCGCCGTCCTCGAGGCAGGATAACAAAGAGAGAACAAGCGAGACCGCCGCCGGCCAGGTTCTGAGGTCACGTATGACAAAGACGCATGAAAAGGCGCATGCACGTGCGCGCGTCACCGAGGGCGCGACCCGTCACCTGAGGACACGATGGCTGAGGTATGACGGCTACCTGTAGAGGCCACTTGTGGAGAGCCAATAGGGAACAATGACTACTGACCCTTAAATATGCTGCCACCGCTGAAGGCAGCATTCTGCTGCTGGAGACACGGAACGCTGTTGGTCGAGGCGACGACAGAACACACGCTGCTGAATGACACAGAAGAACAGGCTGCCGGACACGCAGAAGACAAGCAGAACTAGTGACAGTAAATTACTATGTGCTATCGTGTTCTGTCTTCTCTTCCTAACAGGTAACTGATGGACATAACCGGTGTTGACACAGGAACACACAAGGTTATAACAAATGATGATGAGAAGACCGTAATGTTTTGTGCTTTCAGTTCATCGGGACAAGAGCCCTGGGTAAGAAATAGTCAGGGATAAAAATTCCAAAAAAGTGTTGCATCGTGTAAATATCAGCGAAAGTCTATGCAGACTGCAGTCTTGGCAGTCCTTTTTAGCTTTGGGTGAAGGTAGGTATTGCAACAGATTTCGCTACATTGCTGAGGTGGTCGCGCAACCCTTCAAGAGCTCAAGGCCCTGGAGAAGAAGTTGTCAGGGATGAAATTTCAAAAGGTTGTGTATTGAATAGCTTCACACGAAACGCCTTTGTGAACGCTTGTCGGGGCTAGTTCCGGTCGAACGCACACTGCTTCCGGCCTCTGGAACAGCGAATCACAGACCGAATCAGACAGTACCCCTCATGTGAAGACTGCCGAGCAGACAGCACTTCAGACGCCGTCCGTTGGCTTGCGGTTGTGCGATCGTCTGACAGTCAAATCTCTCCTACCTATTCTCCATTCCTTCTGTACAGAATATACTTTTCCTACTACTCTGGCATTTCAATGACTTCTCTTCGTCTAAGGAACCGGGCCTGAAGACCGCAGCTGCTAGGAGATTAACTTACTTAAAGCCCTGTGATAGTTGGGTCGTGTAAATATCAGTGAAAGTCTATGCAGACTGCAGGCTTTATAGCTCTGGGTGAAGGTATGCATTGCAGCAGGTTTTGCTAACTTGCTAAAGCGGCCGGGCAGACCTGTTAATCAGGAACATCAAGGGTGCGCTTGCACTAAATGCCACCCACATTACATTTTTTATAATTTTCCCGGCGAGGTCGAAATCCCTTACTGATTCACTGTCCCCCTGGATTTCTTATGATTTACAGCAGAAGTGACATTTCCGGCACACACCTTTATGGCGGCGACATAGCACATACAATGTGCCCGGTGCGTACAGTGAATATATTTCATTGATTAATTCCTGCTGAAGGTAGCCACGAGACAGGTTTACTTTTGTTGAAATGTCCATCAACATAACTGTCAACGGAATGGCCTGTTGAATAGATTGCAGTGGATATAGAGGCGTAATAAAATTAGCTTCGAAATAAAAATGTATGCAAGCAGATGCAGGTTTAGGATAATTATTCATTTATTTAAGGTGGGCAGAAAACGACATGATTATTTGCCTGTGGTCTACCTCTTGGTAATAAACATATACAGCAAAGTCTGGTAGAGTACTCCAGTGCCTAGATAACAGTAGGTCTACACAAGTTGCGAATTTTTCAAAATAAGCAGACATATTAATCTTGAAAAAGTGAGGCTATCTAGTTGTCTTCGAAACTATCAAACACAACACCTTATAGCCATTTTAGGTACTTGTAGATTGTTAATTCTATGCCATATATTTCAAAACAGAGGAGGCAGATTGTTTTGCGGACAAAAAAGACCGAAAGACATCCTAGGCAACTTTCACATACAATCGGCAAGCATGTCGAACTAGCAACACCAACGGGTGAACATTGGGTTAAAGAACCTTCTTCAACGTTCATTAGCCCCTTCCGCATCTGCCCGTACAAGTAATACAGGGTTCTAGTGCGGAGCGCCCAGGATGACAACAGGCGTTTTAACCTCGAAACAACCAACACTACTGCTTGAACAAAGCCCTCTACCACAACTCATGACAGACAAATTTGTGCGTTCATTTGTTAGCCTACGTGTTTGTGGGTCGTAGATGGTGGAACAGCCTTCAGCGAGGGCCAGCTGCAAAATAAGCAAGCTGTAGCGGGCCAGCAACAATGGACCTACCACAGGCTGATGTCTGGTATCCCGAGCGCCTTATAAAATACTACAAAGTCTGATCACGCCGCTGCCATACGATGGCCGTAAGTCGTCCTTATATCAGTTCGCTTGCCAATCTCGCTTTGCGGTCAGCTGCTTCAGGCAATGCACAACAGAAGACAACTATCTGTACACTAAATTCAGAAGGAGTCTCATGAAAAAAGGTCACACTAAAGGATTCTGATCGGCGCTATAGCGTCCACAGAAAACCGACGCCTTCCTTAATTCTGATCCAACGGTGCGAATGATTGCTACGCAAGCTGGGTTGGCCCATGGAGGTTAGGGCTTTCGCGTTCAGCGCTAGATTGTTCCTCCACCCTGTTACGCAAAGTCGGTGCTGACGTGGACACTTCGAACATCTTATTATTTGTTTGTGCACCGATCTATTCCTCAGGATGCGCCCATCCTG